TTGGCCACCTGAAGACGTCTGTTTATTGCCTCGTTCTGCCGCAGTTCCACTGACAGACCTGGCTGGCCACAGATTGGAGGTGGTGGCTGCAGAACCTAACAATCCCCAACCTTGGAGAAATCGATTTCTCATGCAAATAAATGCCTTCAATGATGGGAGAATCACAAAGCCTGTCTCATCCAGGCAGCTTTGCAGGGACATTTTTGTCATTAGCCCTTTCTGACCTGAGAAACTTGTTACAAACTTTTTTTTTTTTTTCACAGGGTTTCTCTGTGTAGCCCTGGCTGTACGGGAATTTGCTCTGTAGACCAGGCTGGCCTCAAACTCAGAGATCCATCTGCCTCTGCCTCCCGAGTAATGGGATTAAAGGTGTGTGCCACCACCAACCCATCCTATTAGAAACATTCTTAATTCTATTTTCTCTTTAGGCTTGTATAAAATGTGGAGGTCCTTTTAATAGATATCTCCTGATCTCAAACCAAGTGTCACTCATTGGAAGCCTCTGTGGGCAGTCCTGCTTTGATAGAAGTCGATTTTTAAATACAAAGATTTTTCATGAAAATAAGCATCATAACTTCATCTGAAGAGACGCAAAGCTCTGATGGCATCAAGTGTCCTAGCGATGGTTCCTGGAGATGATCCAACCCCTTCCCATCAGAGCTCACTGTGTGTTTGGGGCCTTGGGAAGGTAAGGAGGGGAAGACCCAGAAGCATTTGAGACTGGAAGCTTGCCAGTGTCTCCAGATCTCCTCCCTGTCTTCTTATCAGGCAAAATTTTCCCACAAGTGGCCAGGAAGCCTCCCAGAACCTCTCCTGTGTCCTCAGCCAGGGCACAGAGCCTCAGGTCCATTGCAGCTTGGATCACACACTGTACCTCACTTCTCAGCTTGGGCCACACAAAATCCTTCTGCTGGCTCTCTCTGCTGTCTAGGTGGTGTGTCTGTCTAATGCTCAGCCAATCACAACCAGTAGTAGGACAAACCCTGCCTCCTCCAGGAGGCCCCCATGGGTGCCACCAGGAGGATAAAACCTCCCCTGTTCTTACTGCTAGCCCCCTCCTCTGCCTTCAGCCCCAGTCATGGAGCCCTGGCTCACTGCTTCAGACTTTGCCAAAGGCTGACATGAAGAGTCTGCTCCATGTGTGGTTAGTTTGGAAGTCCCAGGGGAAGGAAGGCTTCTTTAACTTGTTCTGTCCCCATGTTGGAAAGAGATGGGCATGGCTCAGATGTCACAGCAGCCATGTTCCTTGCAGATCCTGACAGTTCCCCACATGAAGCTCAGGTGGCCCTTCAGTCCCTCAGGTTTTTAATGGGGACTTATTGTCATGGTGCAGAAGCTGGGCAGGCCCAGCGTGTTCAAGCCGTAGACGTGCTGTGCGCAACGAAGCGATGTGAACTAGCTTGTTCACCTCACTGCTCCCCTGTGCTTCTACAGGCCTCGGATCAGGGTCCTATATGTCCCAAGGCTCAAGGAAGAACCACAAAGAGGCAAAGACTGCCTAGCTGTTTGTCTCCTTCTTTCTCCTTTTCACTGTGATGATAGCAATTTTTATACATTTTAAAAGAAAGAAATAAAACACACCCCACACAAAGCTCCAGGGGTAGCAACATGGCTCAGTGGATAAAGACACTTGCCACCAAGCCTGACAACTTGAGTTCAGTCTCTGGGATCTGCATGGTGGAAGGAAAGAACTGGTCCTGAAAGCTGACCTCTGACATCCACAGGCATGCTGTGACGTGTGCACCCGTACTCACACACACTAAATAAATGAATGAATAGATGCAGTACAAAGTTGGTTTCCCAGCTTCCCATGTGACTACAAGTAACCCACACAACAGACGCAGAAATCGCTACCTATAGCCTCCAGGGTAGCGTTTAAGAAGTCTAATTCATCTGCAGGGCAGAGACCGATGCTACCGCCCCCTTCTTCCTTCTTTCAGTCTAGTACCTAACTATGGTGGCCAGATTTTGAGCGGCCATCCTGTGACCGTAGGCAACCCTGAAGCCATCAGAACACGCTTAGTATGGGTGAAGAGAAAGGAGGTAAGGCATGGATATACTGTGGAGTTGCTCGCCAGTCCTGGAACCCCTGGTGGCTTTTATGTTCTGAGCCACTTGAAGACACTGTCCTATTACTGAGCATCAAATGCAGTCCTGACAAGAGGTGAAAGCTCTCATTTGGCAAGCAGTTCTCTTGAGTCAGGCCTTGGGCCAGGCACTGTATGATGCATTATACCCCAGACGCAAAATACCACACCAGGCAGGATGACTGCTCGCATGAGGGGACCGGGACTTAGAGACTGATGGAGGATTTGCCAAAGCCAGACAAATGAGCAATATGCTTGGTCCCAGAGCCAGGCTATTAGACACCAAGACCCATGTCCTTCCTTCCGCTGAAACTAACGCATGCCTTTCTCAAGCCATCCTGTAACTAGCACTGCAGGTTTGCTAAAGTGCCAACCGTGGTCACCAAGCCTTGGGCTTACCAAGACCGGAAGGCTGGTGGCAGTCTCTATAAACCGTGCCTGGAGAAGCTGTTGGCAAAACATGGCTTCCAACTCATGGCATCCAATTGTTTGCTTTAGTGAAGAGAACTCTGAGGAGTGTGACTTTGAGATGCAGGGTAAGGGTGTTAAAGCGAGCGACAAGAGGTGACAGCCATGCTGAGGGCTGTCAGAGGGTTTTCTTTCTGAGGTGGCGATGCCACAGAGAACTGCAAGTGAGCCAGCCATGCTGCAGGCAGACCACACTAGTGGAAGAGGTCAAGGTCGTCTGTTTGGCACGGCTGTCAGGTTTGTACCAGACCCTGTGTGGCCCTGGCTTGCTTGCTCTCTCTCTCTTCTCTCCCTCTGTCTCTCCCCTCCCTTCCCTTCCTCTCTGTGTGTGAATTTATAGAACTATATGTAACTCATGACATTCTTTAACCATTGTGGAAAGAAACTAACATTTATTAATCATTTGCGATATGCTAGATGTTTCCTAAGGTTCTGATTAATTCTACACACACACACACACGTACACACAGACACACACACACATGTACACACAGACACACACACACGTACACACAGACACACACACGTACACACAGACACACACACACGTACACACAGACACACACGTACACACAGACACACACACGTACACACAGACACACACACACACACGTACATACAGACACAGGTCTCCCTATGGCCTATGTGGTTTCATTCTAATCTATAGGCTAAAGACCCCCAGGTTCAGGGTTAGGGTTCACTGTCACCTGCGAGCTGCCCTGTGTCACCTCCAGAGGGTTCCAAAGGGAGCAGGCAAAAGAGTGAACCACAGACACGGACAGCAAGGGGCAACTTCTCACTTCGTAGGCTGCAGCAAACCTCTTCTTTAAGCTTTACCCTTAAAACTCGTGCAAGTGTATGGCAGACACTACAAGCATGTTATTTTAATATTAGAGCAAGTGTGCTGTATGATTTGCCAGACTAATCAACGTTTCCCTCCGGAAACTCACTGTGGAAAGCTATGCCTTTGTGACATAGACAGGCTGGTCCTACTGGGAGAGCGCATGTTAGGAAACACAAGGCCAGACTCCACCAACAATCCCTACTGGGTGCTGAAGGGTCTGGTTCAGGGTAACTGCTGCAATTAGAACGCTGCCTGAGGAAGCCCCTTATTCTGACTTCACCTGTTGCTGTGATGAGATACTTGAACCAGAAGCAGCTTAGGGGAGGAAAGGGTTTATTTGGCTTATACTTCCAGGTCACCGTCCATTGCTGAGGGACCAGTGAGTTTGAGGGCAGAAACTTAAGGAGGTCCTTGAAGAAGCTGAGACCACGCTGCTTGCTCACAGTTCCTGCTCAGCTAGTGTTCTAATACAGCCTAGGAGCACCTGCCTAGAGACGGTGTCCCTACAGCGTGCTGGGCCCTCCTGCTAGGGTTAATCATCACAGTAACCCTCCGCAGACATGCCTACAGGTCAACCTGACTTAGACTTTCCTCTCAGAGGACTTGGGTTGTTCCAAGATGACCTCACTAACTAGGACATCCCCTGAGGATTCACGCGTTGGAAGCATGGACTTCGGTATGGTGCTCTGGAAGTGGCAGCATCTTTAGAAGGCAGAGCTTACAGGTCTTTAGGTCACTGGGCATTGGGCATGTGCCCTTGGAGGGTACTAGTTCTTGTGGGCCCCTGAGTCATTACAAGAGGAAGCCTGACTCCGATCTGCTGTGCCATCATCTCTGGACATGATTTTTCTCTTGCACACACCTCCCTGTGGTATCTTCTGTCATTAGACTCTTACCAAAGATGGAACTAACAGGGCTGTCTGACCTAAGAGTTTAAGCTGCTAACTTAAACTACTGTGAGCTAAGCAAACCTCTTTTCTTTATAAAGTTATCCAGCTTCAGGTATTGTGTCATAGCAACAATAAAAACCACTACTACGGTGGTCCACAGTTCCTGCGTGTGTGTGTGTGTATGTGCGGGTGGATGCAAATACCTACGCACAGGTACATGGAGCCCGGAGGCGGGTCCTGACTGTCTTCCTCTACTCTACTCCACCTTAGATTTTGAGACAGGCTCTTCACCGAATCTGGAGTTGGACTTTTTGCTAGAATGGCTTGCAGGAAGTGCTTATCTCGCCCTGCTCCCCATTCCTGGTGATTACTACTGCATGCTGCCAGGCCTGGTTTATGTGGCACTGGGCTCTGAACACAGGTCCTCATGCTTCCGCATCAAGAGCATTGCCTAATGAATTATCTCCCTCAGCCCCACAACTGCTTACTTTAATAATGAACCTAAGATTTAAATGTCACTGTTAGAACATTTGTTAACTCCCTTGACGAGAGTGTCTAATACGCCAGCCATGAGGTAACTGCAGCTTCAAACAGGGTACCAGTTCAACACTATGGTCTCTCAAGAGCAGTCAAGAACCACGTGGCATTCAGATGAGTGGTTGGATTCTGCCCTCTCCAAACCTCAAGCGGGAGAAAGCTGGTCTCACTAACCTTATGAAGGTCCGAAAGCCAGTTGGTCCCAACTTCATTGTCCCCTTGATTCCCAGGAATCGGATAAACAAGTTGGCCATTCTGTCTACCAGGCGTAGATAGTTGAACTGCTTGGCATATTTGGGGAACACCTGCTTGAGGCAGATGGAGGGCAGGTGGGCTTCGGGGTTGGAGTCAGGATCACCGGTCAGGTCACAGTCCAGATCTTCCTTTCCAGCGAAAGGCTTTCCAGGATGCTGAGACCTGAAACACACGGGGCACTCGTGACAAACTGCCTTCCTCCAATGGGGAGAGGTGTGTACAGCTTCTATTGCATAGGAGTGGCCTGCTGAGGCGCACACAGTTCCAGCTTACTGAAGCGGGGCTTGAACCCAGGGCAGAGCTAGGACCGGAAACACGGCTTCCTCCATCCTGCCATGCCAGCTTCACTCTGCTCGCGGTTCAATGAAATACCCCACTGTGAGCAGTCTGGGTTTGAGTTCAAACTCCTACTTACGGGTAGTAAATGAATGATTAGGAAATAGAAAAATCTCACTGAGGGTTGGCAAGAAGCCGCAGGCACATTCAATGGACAACTTGGGTAGCTACTTCCATTCCCCAGTCCTGGGAACACAGACGATTTCCTGCCTGAACTGTATGTTAGGAACTCATATAGAAGATGACAAGTTTTGTGACTCCTTAGCCTGTGTGTTTTATTCTGAAATTATTCTGATAATCAAGAAAATGAATAGCCACAGACTTTTACCTGAGACCTGGAAATGGTCTCAGTTCCTTCTCGCCTCCAGCATGACACAGCCCTTCCCCGACCCAAAGTCTGTCCCAGAGCTCCTGAGTCACCACCAGAGATCTGCCAGTTACCCAGGCGGGAAAATCAGAATAAAAGCCAACTCTTGCTCGGTCTCCATAGTCAACGCTGTACACTCTAGCCCTCAGATGAGCTCTCACAGGCCAGCCTTGTTCTCCCATTCTGCCGTGCTTGGACCATTGCACCACGTCTCTCAGGATTTTGTGGCTGTGCAGAAACACCATGACACAGCAACTCTTATAGAGGAAAACATCGAATTGGGGCTGGCTTACAGTGTCATCATGGCGGGAAGCATGGCGACATGCAGGCAGCCATAGTGCTGGAGAGGTTGCTGAGAGATCTACATCTGGATGAAGGCAGTAGGAAGAGCAAGTGACTCTGAAACCTCGAAGCCCACCCCAAGTGACACACTTCCCAACAGTGACATCCGCTGTGGGCTTACGCGGGCCATTTCCATCAAACCGTCACACTATGTTTCTGGGCTTGCCTTCCCATTCTCTATTCTGGCATCCGCGTGGCTTTCATTTTATTATTACAGCTTTGAGACAAGGTCTCACTGTGCAGCCCTGACTGGCCCTAAATTTGCCATGTAGCCTAGGCTGCCTTAGAACTTATAATTCTCCTGGTGCTTTCTCCCAAATTCTGGGATTATGGGTGTGTGCCACCATGCTTAGCCCTGTGACAACCAACATACCTGACTGGGCTACTCCCTCTCCAATCTTGTCTAAGATGCTGGCCTCTTTACAGGTGCCTCTTCCTGGTGTTCCTGCTCTCTTCCCAGACACCCTCGTTTCTGGGTCCTCGCTGTCTAGACACAGGTTCGGTTCCAAGTTTTGACTATTCCAAGTTTTACCCTCTACCTTGCTGTCCGTCAGTCTGGCCCGGAGACCCTGAGTTCCCAATTCCCTTCCTTACTCAGTGCTTCTCTCTACATCAGTCTCCACCCTTTCCTGGCTCCTGTCCCACCCAGAAACAGGATAACAGAAAACCAGCCACCACCTGTGGTCGCCACTCCTAAGACTAAATCCTGAAGACACTGTGCACAGTCAGTAAGGCCCCAGGAAGTTCAATGCGCATTTTGTGGTGCTAACTCAAACGGTGGGTCACTTGTGACTGTTCCTTGAATGGCCTGTCAGCATCCCACTTCCAGGTAGTCCCACACCAGGCCGTCATGCTGTCCGTGTGCCCGCTTCTCCGTGGCCCTGGCTGTGTGGCACATTCCTATACTACTCTGCCTCAAGATGTCTCTTTGGCCACACCAATGACACTCTTCCACATCCATTCTGTTCCTTCGATATGTCTCTCTGTCCCCACACACTTCAGCTCACAGGTCAGCCCCTCAGGGTTCTGTGAGCCACATCCCAGCCCACTCATGTCTATAGCACGTGGGGTATGCTAGATTCCTGGGAGCAGGGAGTGGGAGGCAGTTTTCATCAAATTTGTCGCATTGTATGGAGTTTGAAGTGAAAATGGCCCTATAGGCCCTTAGGCAGTGGCACCATTAGGAGATGTGGCCTTGTTGGAGGAGGTGTGTTACTCGGGGTAGGTGTTAAGGGGTTCAAAAGCCAAACCAGGCCCAGTGGCTCTCTCTCCTGCTGCAGCCTGCTGAACGGAACTCTCAGCTCCTTCTCCAGCACCGTGCCTGCCTGTCTGCTGTCATATGACCCCACAATGTGACGATAATGGACTGAACCTCTGAGCTGTAAGCCAGCACCAATTAAATGCTTTCCTATAGAAGATCTGCTGTAGCCACGGTGTCTCCTCACAGCAATATAACCATGACTAAGACACGTTGGGAAAGTCTGCTTTTAACAATGGCATAAACCGACCAGAAGCGTCTCAAAGCCGTGATGCTTATTCCATAAGCCCCTGGGAACGGGAAAAAAGCCTGAGAGACAAACGTACTAGAAAGCTCTGCCCAAGTGGTCCCCTTCTCAGACCAGCCCCAGGAGCCAACCTCTAGGGAAGACATGTGTAGAAATCCAGAAGACCTGGTCACAGCTTCTTTAAAGTGGACCCTAACTCTGGACTCAAAGCAAGAACGGGCAGAGGATCAGAACCAGGCATCACAAAGGAAAACCTCTTTCAATGTTTCATGGCATGGAGGGTCTGGGTTGCAAACCCTCCTCCTCCATGTGCACACCCAGCTCGTCAGCAGAGTGTGTATTCCTAGGGTGCGCGAGGCTCCTTCAGCAGAAGCGCCACTGTCACTATCACCTGGACCTCAGACAGTAAACAAAGGTCAGGTGCTTATTTTTCACACAAAATGAAGTATTTTCCCCACGACAGTTGTAGAAAGAAAAATGGGGTGGTAGGTAAACTTACCAGAAATTAGCTCCTAACTCACTGTGTAAGTGGTGATGGCTGAGATTGTGAGCACTCAGGAAATTTCATCAAGAGGAAGACAGGGAGGTGCGCAGTGTGGATGCACAGGGGGTGGAAACGGGAAGACAGGGAGGTGCACAGTGTGGATGCACAGGGGGTGGAAACGGGAAGACAGGGAGGTGCGCGGTGTGGATGCACAGGGGGTGGAACGGAAGACAGGGAGGTGCACGGTGTGGATGAACAGGGAGTGGAAACGGGAAGACAGGGAGGTGCACGGTGTGGATGAACAGGGAGTGGAAACGGGAAGACAGGGAGGTGCGCGGTGTGGATGCACAGGGGATGGAAACGGGAAGACAGGGAGGTGCGCAGTGTGGATGAACAGGGGGTGGAAACGGGAAGACAGGGAGGTGCACGGTGTGGATGAACAGGGGGTGGAAACGGGAAGACAGGGAGGTGCGCGGTGTGGATGAACAGGGGGTGGAAACGGGAAGACAGGGAGGTGCGCGGTGTGGATGAACAGGGGGTGGAAATGGCTCAGGGACCGCTCAGGCACAAACCCGCTTTCCGTGAACCTCTGTGGAGCAGTCTTTGGCTGCAGCGCTGTTCCAGACACAGAGATTGAGGGTGAGGGTGGCATCTCATCTCTGAATAAACCAGGACTACAAACCAGCTCTCCAGCGTTCCCTCCGTTTTACTATGCCCTTATTCTAAAGCACATCATGGCTCACACTGGGAACACAAAATTCTAAATACTATTGCTTAATTTTTAAAAAGACTTTTAAAAGTATTGATTGCTTTTTATTTATATTATTTATTTATTTTCTTTTATTTTTAAAGAGCAAGGTCTCATGCAGTCCAAGTTGAGGGTGATCTTGAACTTCTGATCCTCCTGACTCCTCCCCACTGCTGGGGTTACAGGCATGCACTCCTACATGCAGTTTTATGTGGTGATCAAACACAGGGCTTTCTGCATGGGAGGTAGGCACGCTGCCAACTGAGTCATAGCTTCAGCTGTGAGCTTTTTGTTTCAGATTATAAAAGTTTTTTTAAGTTCTTTGTAGACCTTTGGAGAGAAGTATAAAGGAATCAAAATGATTCCTAATCCCAGATTTTGAATACAGACACTAATAATGTTTAGATGCCTGTATGTAGGGTTAGGATGACAGGACACGTGTTTAAACTGTCGCTCACGCCACACATGTTTCTCAGGGACATCCACACAGTCGGAATTAAGCCTTAACCATAAGGAAGCTAGCATTCCTCCTCAGTTAGAGACTTAAGGCCGACTGACTTGTCATTGGCCTGGCCACCCAGTGTCCAGCCCCTCCTCTCCCAGCACAGATGTTGCAGTGTGTTAGCTACAAGTGACTTTGGTGTGTAACATACACAGAAGCCACCATTTAAACACGTTTGTAGTGTGCAGCTCAGAGGCATTTAGGTCTTCCATGACAGCACCATCGCTGTCATCTAGTTCTAGAACATTTCACAACGCCATTTCAGAAATTTTAACCCAGGTAGACAGGATCGGATCTATGTGGCGGCAGGCTGTTTAAGATAAAACATGGTCTGAGGGGCAGCCTTAGTTTGGACTGCCAGATGGGGGCCTCATCACCACCATCCAGCACGTTCAGACTAGACAGGTCTTCCCCATGTCACTCCAGGGGATGAGGGAGTCCTCTTCTGGAGACACGTCTGTCCAGCACGCACCTTTCACCACTCCTCCATGTGGTGTGCTCCGATGGCTGCCCTCCCTCCCAGCCACCAGTGCCCAGCATGCGCCTCCGATGGCTGCCCTCCCAGATGCCCATGTCCCTTCACAGACCCTGGAGCACAGCTGTTTAGGGAAATGGTTTTCCTCACCTGGGAAGGACTAAAGATGCAGTTGATGTATAAGGGGAAATAAAAGGATGAGGAATGGCTTCTTTGCTGGAGATAATTGCAATTATCACACTGAGACCCAAGCCATCACAAATACTGTAAAAATCCCGTTTTTACTTAATAGCATTTTAATGGAAATGTCAGGCTTTGGGAATAAAAGTGACTGGTAAAGAAAACATAAATCAAGTTTACTAGTCCTTTGGGATAGTTTCTGCAAAAAATTGAATTTGGTATA